GTGATTTTTAATATTTTTTCCTTTCTCATTTATTTCATATTTCCTTTGCTTATAAACAAAAAACCTTAAACTTCAAAATCTAGAAAATATGTTCACACTAAAATATTTGATTTATACCTAAAATAAGTAATTATTCAAATACATATAACTTGAAGACGAGAATAGAATTGTATAGAAACGAATTCATCTCAACGATTAAAAAGTGACACAATACAATCAAAATTTAAGTAACCTGGCCGTTATTACACATCCGCAAAACTATTATTACTGTTCTGATTTTTCAAATCACTCCATCCACTCATTGGATGTTCTAAGACACATTGAAATATTATATATACATGTACAAACAATAATTATGTATGTATGATTACATACATACATAAATAATACAATCCAATTCAGTATATACATAAACAGATAAGGTAACGATGAATGAAAGGTCTTTTCATTACTCAAAATGAATGCGTATCCGTACTTCTGATTCTAATTTCCATCGCCCATAGCGCTATGATGTAAAACCAATTTCAATTGATACGATAGATTGTGGCACGGAATGATAGAGGGCTCTGCTGACGCAAAATTTTGTGGTTCTGATATATGCTAACGTGGATCAAGGGTTCTTGTCCATACTAATGTAGACCAGGGGTTTTTGTCCATGCTAATGTGGACCAGGGGGGCAGCACTTGCTCGGGAACACCGAAACCCCGGGCGTTAGCACTCTCATTTCCTCTCTGATATTATCCTATCGGGCGAAGCTTCGAACGATAAGCAATTAACGCATGCACTCGTTTAAAAATATCGTTCAGCACCCCGCGACGGAGAACAATATCATCATAAACCCTGACCCTTGCCGGAGTTTCCGAACGACCGCTACAGTCAGTTTTCGAAATTAGGCGTTTTATTAGGTCGAACAAGACGGAATGATCTGACATGGGTGACGCTAATTGTTCCTCGCTCGACGCTTCGCTAGGAAGGACAATATCTTTTTTTTCTGGTTCTGGAGGAGACCGAGACGGCTGTCCGTATGTGTGAGTGTGAGATGGGTAAACGAAGTGCGGAGATGTGAATGCCGAGGATATGACCGCGAAATGTTTCGAATTTTCAGCGACAAATTTTCATACGGTTAGTTTATTCCACGCGATCATATTATCCAAAAATGAGATTATTTTTAAACTGAAAGTAATGAAATTAAATCCACAATAAGCAGGCAAAAACAGCGCCGCGCTCCGTTTCAGGTAGCAAGCCGGCTTCGTCGGTCTTATAATGAGACTCATAAAGAGACAGTTTTATAATGTCTAGACTCGCACACCCTCGGCATCGTGGCCAAGTGGGCCCGAGTGGTGTATGAAAAAAAATACAGATGTTGTTCTAAGAATATGCGAAGAGAAACGGAACCTCCACTTTCCCATGCAGCTTTTCCTTCCTAAAAAGTATTGACCATAAAAGAGTGGGGATCTACCTATTACGCCACAGCGATCCTAACGAGGGAGGATCAGTTCACGTAATACATTAATCATTGTCATTAATAAGGAAAGAATGAAATAAAGCGCCGTCCGTTACATTACGGTTTATTAAACCGCAATTATAATATGAACATTTCTTAAAATGTGTTTTACTGGTCTGACGTTCCATGCTCTACGAATTCTGACAATATTCAATATAAAAATGGGAAAACGCAAAAAGGCTATATACAACCACCGACGAGGTATAGGATAGACCTATCATCTTATGGGACTTCGTGTCTCATGTTCTGAAATACCGATAGTGTAAAAAGTCAGGGATTTTCTGCTACCCTCTACTTTATGAGAACGGTGAATTTGTGAACTACGTTAAATCCATTCGAGCTCAACTAGTCTAACTTGTACAGTGTTGTCGAGTCTAAAGTACAATGTTGTCAGATCATGAGTGTTCGGTACGTCGGAAATTCGACTTTCGTCCGTTCACTGTAAAGTAGACGTATTAGAAAGGAGTCTTGGGTTCTAGTCACGACGGACCTATTGGTTTTTTTTCGCGTACAAAAAAGTTATTGCGCTTAATATTGTTTTTATGAATATGTATATATATTATTATGTACATTTGAGTAAATTATTTTATTATTCCATTGTTATTACAACAGTTTAACAGTGACAACGAACGCATGTATATTTTCAAATATCGGACTAACAGTATATTTTTATTCTATA